CAGTGACTTACAAAACTGAAAAACAATGCAGTTAAAAAAAACCCCAATATAAAACATACTGCAAACAATGCAATTAGACTGCGATTACCAAGTTGGAAAACGAGGCGATAAAAACAGGATGAGACACAACATAATCTGCTCTGCTTATTTCTTTATTTACTACACTTGTTTCTGTTGCCGAGACTCAAGATGAATCACACAGTTAAAAAAGACCCACTTAAGAACAATACAAAACACGCAGCCAACTGGGTGGCAAAATTAGAGAACAATGCACTAAAATAGCACAGTGCATACAAATAATGTAGGAGTCACGTTGCAAAACTCAGTACAATGAAAAACAGTACAATCCATACAAAATGTAGAGCAGTGAGAACTGCCTTAGATATCACAGATGTTAAACAGCCTTATTCCCTCTTATGAAAACACTCCTGAAACATTTTTGTTTTATGCATTATATGAAATTATAAATGTATAGGAGCTTTCTGGGCTTTTCCTCCTTCGGGAGGTCATTCACCATCTTACCCATTTGCAGGGTGGCCCCTTCAGGAGGTTTTACCGACGAGTGAAGTGTATCAACTTGATCCTGTGGTTTTGCTGGCAAGAAACCTGCTCTGGAGCGGACTGTTGCATAAAATGGACTCTCCCGCTACTCGAATGGAGTGTGGCACTTCTTGTTACAGCCTAACCAAGGTGGAGAGAGGCAGAGTTGCGTCCAATGTTTCTCCGGAGTTTAATGGACCAACGTACACCAGGGAAGCTTTGGGTAAACACTGGACTGCAGTGAACACATGTGAATCTGCCCTACACTGATGCCAACATTTTAAGTCCATGGCTGTTGAAGTTGTGGGACACAGCACCCATTGCAGGAAGCAGCATAGCTTCCTGCACGAGACATCGATAGTTTGTGATTTCCGTGTTCCCCAGCATCAGAGACATTTCATGGCCAAACGGGAGACTTCAGCCCATAGATATTCTGACCTCAAGGATAGGTCACAGGAAGACCAAGTCCTATGAGGAAAGGTTGAAGGAGCTGAGTATGGTTAGCCTGGAGAGGAGACGACTGAGAGGTGATATGAGAACCGTCTTCAATTACTTGAAGGGCTGCCATATAGAGGATGGGGCGGAGTTGTTTTCTGTTGTCCCAGAAGGTCGGACCAGAACCAACGGGTTGAAATTACATCAAAAGAGTTTTTGG